TGAAGATTAAAATGAAATAAAATTAATAATATATGTAATTTGACCGGCGGTACAAGCTGTTTCTGAATGAATGGGCTGCGTTCATGTTTTAGAATTTGATTATAATTTCAGATGGAGGGCAGGAGTTTATATAACTCTATGGGAGGTTTACTGTTTAGGAAAGAAATATCCAAACTTATGATCCGCAAATGTTTACTTTATCATTATTTGTTAGGGGATCGACTCCACAAACTTGTCATATTAACCTCAGGGTTTAAACTCAGTTCAATTGTGAATAATGGCGTTGAAACTATTGTGAGAAAGCAATTTCACTTTTGTTTATTTATTCTGTCAGAGAAGATATTGAACTGAGCTGAGAACGTACAGAGAAATTAACAATAAACCAGGTCAAAACATCAAAACATGATATGACAAGTTGTGGAGTCAATGCTTAACAAATAATGGTGAGGTTCAACATTTGTGGATCATAGGTTTAGATATTTCATTGAAATCAGTTTTTTTTTATAGCTCAAAAAAAAACAACAAGAAAAACAAGCATTGTAGTGTGCAATACAAGCATTGTACTGTGAGCAGAACTGCCTCTCCACAGATCTCACCTGTAACTTGGTCTAGTTTGGTCTACATGAAGATAGAAGGGTTTAATGCCATACTGTGAAACATTCCAAACAAAGTAATAACATCTTCACTGAGAAAATGTTTGACCAGAAAAGTTACACAAAAGTTGCACCTTTAAGAGAGCAGTGTAATCACATTTTGTGTAATTATCTCTTCATAATAAAGTGTCCAAAATAGGGACGGGCATGATTAGTCGACTAATCGATAATTGATCATTAAGAATTTAATCAATTACGTTCATTTTTAATCTACAAACCGATTGTAGGTTGCTGTACGTAGAGACAAAGCTGCGTCTGACAGCACAAACACTGGAGTCTAGGCCTCACAGTCCCACATCTGGGCTCTGGCACCTCCTTGGAGATCACTGTCCCACTCAGTGAGTGTGTTTACATGCACATCAGTCTCCCAGTTTCATCATGGTGCATGTACACGCAGTATCCCGGTTACTGCAACATAAAGGGCTGCGCTAAACCTGCACACGTACAATCTTTGAAAACATCACAACACACACAGAGAACAGACTCGCCTTCAGCATCAACATCCCTCTGTTACAGAAAGAACACTCATATTCCACTGAGTCGCGTCCTTTAGTCCGACAGAAGCGGAACTGCACCAGCGCACAAGAGCGTTTTTTTTCTCCACTTAGTTTATGCAAATTAGCCAGGCGGTTTTAAGTTTTGTTTCTGTAAGACTTGGGCAAAGCTGCATTGAACACATTCTAATCTCAAACAGGCTGATGTGGCTCTATAGTGGTGATGGTTTATATGTTGTAAAGTTTATTTTTGCAGATTAGTAGTGCAGATAGTAATAATAATGATGATACTTATTATTATATAAGAACGTTAATGATTAATCGAAAATTGATCGTTAATTCTCCCGACCATGTAATGCCTAATCGATATATCGGTTTATCTTTAACATGAATGCAACCTCTTCACCTCTCACTCACACTACCACTGGGGCATATAAGTTTGAAGTGGTATCAAAGTGAGCAGGCAGTGTAGCTGAAAGCCCCTGCTGTTTGTACTCGTCAGGTGCTGCTTCATAGGTGGAGAATGTGTGGTGCAGGGCCAATACAAGCAGAGCCTTGGCACAGACTGTGGGGGTCAGCTCGCAGGCTTGTGCTTAGGATTTGTGTTGAGGCCCAGGGGAGGTCACGGCCCCTCTGCTCACGGCACAAAAGCAATCTGGGAGTTCTTCTAAGGTGAGTCACTTCTCCCCTCGGCCTCCAACACCTCGTCTTACCCATCAGGCCCGGCAAATCCCACTCTAACCCTGAGATGTAATACAAGGAATACAGTGGGCCCAATAACGCCAATGTGCTGCTTTAAAGTTTGGTTCTGCCTTCAAGACGCATTACCTGAAACTCCACCGAAACCTTTGTTGAACTCAACTTTTTCTTTTTGAATTACTTTTGCAGTTAAAATGTAGTAGAAAAATGACTGCAATCACACCATATTCTCAGCTGCTACTATCTGCCAGGGTTCATATTACACTATTTTCTGATAATGTTGTTCCCTCATCACAAACATACTTGGAGGTGTGTTTTATTTTATTCGAAACATGTTTAACACACAAACCCTGCATAAAACACTTTGTTTCACCTGCATTTAGACCATAACTGAAGAAACAGCTTGGATGAGCTGCGAAGCGTATTCGACCAAATAAACTTTTTAAATTTCTCCTTTTGCCATAGATTCTACCTGAATGACTGAGGGATTTTACACAGATCACTAGATGGACCAAAGCATTTTTTTGTTGTAGTGTCAAGAAAGTGATTCATGAAGTTATTGCTTTACCTATAATGTATGACTTTTTTTTTTTATGAAGACAACCTGGTGACAGTCCAAATTACAGGTCAGATCTGTAGAGAGGCAAGCTCACTCACAGCAAGAATGCATGTTAATCAGTGTATTCGTTAGTGTTGGAAGCACCTGTTGTTGTATAAATGCAATCTGTATAATTTTAAAGTCATACTGTGGGACATTTCAGTTAAAGACATCTCCATGGAGACAAGCAGCAATCAAACAAAAGGAAGCAGCTATTAAAAAATAAAACATAAGCATAAACAACTCTTCCATCTGTAAAAATCAATACTTGAAATGATTTGATGTTTATTCGAGATCTCATAAAAAGTTGCTTTAAAGAAATCCCTACATACTCTACCTTAAATATCAACTATAAGGGCATATTATTGATTCTCTTTACTTTGCTGATGATCGTTAAAGCAATGTTTAGGCTGTTGATTTGATTTATATGAAATGTAATGTACACTATGCAGCTAATGAGAAAACCTTATTGTACTGCAAACCATAGATTTGCAAGCAGTCATAAAAGTATTGGATACAACTGTGAAAACTGTTCCAAAAATAATCCTGCTCTTTAATTAATTATTGCAGCATGCTTATAGAATGATGAATACATGTTTGTGAAATCGACTGAATTGGGGTGAAATCGTGTGTGTGTGTTCGTGTTAATGGGGGCAGGTTTTCCAGGTCACATATCATGGCTTTGTTTATTTCTGCTCCTGTCTGAAATCTAAGGAGCTGCTATTTTCATCAAGCAATTAATTTTACACAATTAATGTTTGTTATCAAGATAATTACCTTCTCCCTGTTGTGTGTATTGATATGGTAATGCAAAAGGGACTATATTACACTATTTTCTGATCTATGTTATAATGTTATTTCTTCATCACATACCAGGACTTTTGTTTCACTCACACGTTTAACACACAAATCTTGCATATTTAGGCATATTTAGAGTTCTTCTCTCAAACACAAAACACTCTGTTCCACCTTGTGATGTCATGTAATAATACAAGAAGTGTGTTTTTAAACTCTATACACATTCACTAGAATCATTTGGATGATTTCAGCCAGGCTGGCACCACCTAGTGCTTCCGTTCAATTTCATTTCTCTCCAGTGACCAGGTCAGGAATCAGAATACACTAGACAGTTTGCAAGAACCATGGAAGTGCAAGTCCAGGCAATATCCAATCAGCGAAGTGCCATACATTCTGTGGTGGCAACAATTCCCGAGATCGAGAATTTAAAGCCGGAACAAAGAGAATGTTTGGTGAATTTTATCAAGGGGGAAGACATTATTGCCCATATTACATATGTCACAACCAAACAGCAGCGATTGGTTAAATTTAAAAAAGTACACGCCTACCGTTGAGAGAACGAATTCTAAAGCTGCAAGGTCAGACGGTTTCCACAAAGTGAAACTGTCTGTTAGGCTGATGAATCAGACTAGATAGATAGAATTGCCAATCACTGCTGAACTAAAGTTAAAAATTAACTGTTAACTTAAAAACTACCACTTCATGACATCACAAAGTAGAACAAAGCATTTTGAGCTTTGGAGATGCAGACAGACTAATAATGTAGGATTACTCAAGCTTGTGCGAATGAAACAAAACACTACTCCAGATATGTTTTTAATGAGGCAGCAACATTCTAACATGGCGTAAAGATCACAAGAGTCAATAGGACTTTTAAAAGACAAAATATATATGTGGGAGCTACGCCTTACATAGCATATCTCAATTCATTTTAAACTATTATGGTTGGTTGGGTCTTGGCACAACATGCTTGGAACAGCTCCAAACACATTAAAAAAGAGGATTTGCGGGCCAGTGGTTACCAATTACAGGCTATCATAAATATTTGGCTGATCTATTTGATATTCATCCAAGCTAAATGAAGTTGGCCATTTCATACTTCTGGACCACATAACTTTCTGGAGGTGGTTGGTCTTTTGAATAATTCCATGGAAATATGAAGTTAAATCTATGACTAATACTTTGGAAAATTCTCCATGAAGATCAGTTAGTTTTATGCCATACTGTGGATTTTTACAGCAAAAATAACATTTACATGGAGACAACCAGGCAAGTATGTGTCAAGTTTGTGGAGATGCGAGCCCAGTCACAGTAAAGATGCACAGATGCATTTTTCAGTGCAATAAAACAAACAAAATGAAAAATATAGAAAGATATATTTATTTTACTTTTTTTGGCTAAAAGTGGTAGAACGTACTCCACTGTGTTTTTAAACTCTATACACTTTTACTTCACTAGAATCATTTGGATAATTTCTGCCATGGAAGTTCCAATCTCTACAAAAAAGATAAAAGCTAGCTATTAACTACCTCTTCATGACATCACAGAGTTGAACAAAGCATTTTGAGCTTTGGTGATGAAGATAGACTAATTACTTGAATTATTTAAATGTGTGAATGTAAAAAAAAAACACAACTCCAGGTATCCTTTAGATGAGGTAACAACATTATAACATGTCTTAAATCTTACAAGAGTCATTGTTGTATAACAGTTTTAAGAAAACCCCATAACTGTGAAGTTGCATGTGATGTTAAATACCTCTTTTATTCCAGTTAGTCGAGCCAAGGCGGCCTTTTAAACAGTGTGATTGTTCTCCTCTAGCTTCTTGCTCTCCTCGGATGTCCCCACTTCCTTCTCGTTCGTCTTCCAGCTTCCTTGTCTGAAAGAAAACACAAACTCAAAATCGTGACCTGCCCCTCCTGCTCCAGACACTAGGGTTGCCAAAAATATGGAAAATCAAATACTAACCAATACTAAAACTACTATCAAAACTAAATACTCATTTCAGCAGGTATTGATACTAAAAAAGTCACACTCACAGGCCAGACACCCATGGATCACTATTTATGACTGAGAGATTATATAGATATAAGATGACATTGTACTTTTATTTATGTTGAAAAATCACATTCTATTGTCTAAAGAAATATGTATTTAAAAAAAAAAAAAAATCATCATGGTATCAGAATCAGTACTGAGCATCAAGTCTGTTCCTTAGTAGGGATGTAATGATATCCAAGTCTCACGGTACAATATTTTTCACGATATACATCTCACGGTATTTATTGTGGGAGGCCAACAAAATTGTAAATATGCTTCTTTTTCCTCTTAACATACCTTGACAAGAATTAATTCAAAGAACTAAGATTTAAGAACTTAGATTACACAATGATCAAACTAATAAAATAAATGACAATGCCTTTATTTTGTTCAATATTCAATCTTTGTTTAATATATAATATTAATAGTAAAGTGCCATCTTTGCATATAAATTGAGATGGACTTGAAATCTCATTGTGATAACACAGGCAGAGTGATTCTGTTTTAGAAGTCAGCACTACTTCCTGTATTTTTGTATTTTCTTCTCATCTTTTTTTTTGACTCAAACTGGCACTTAACTCATGTCTAAATAAAGAGTTTTTAAAATGATCAATGTGCTATCGGATTCAGTATTTAGCACTGAGTATATTCCTTGGTATTGAAATTTTAGTATTGTGACAGCACTTCCAGATACACGATCAGTCACTTGGCAGTATTCTGAACTCTTATCTCCTCTGTAAGGGAGCATCACTCTTTCTGCTAACTCACAACTCCGCTCCATCACCAGAGTACCGCCTGCCAGGCACCGTCCCCGCACGATAACACCAACAGCTGCTTATCGCCATGCTGACATATGTGATCATTTGAGGGCACACGTTTCATTTGTTCCATCTAACGTCTGTGCCTCTGTGCTGCTAAATGTTTCAGATTATTATTATTAACTAGGGATGGGCCATATTTCAGTTTGATTTCAGCCAATACCTGAAAATATGGCTTTATGAAATTATTTTATACCCCAGACAAAACCATTTTCTTTTTATTTTTACCATAGACTGTAAAAAATGTTGCTCTTCTCTCTGTAACTGCTGCTGTCAAGGTCCTCATCTTGGTCTTAAAATGTTCATATTAACTCACTCTACATGATTCTGGTGTTTTTATTCCTATATCTCTGCCACCACTCCACAGCGTTAGTATTATTTCATTTCATTTCATTTACATTAAGTTAATTACAGCACACATAATTTAATTCCTTTATTTAGACTTATATTCTAATTTGGGTGCACACATTTTAGTTAATATAAGACTGAGTTATTTACTTACAATTGCTCTTTTTTGTTGCTTGAGTGGCCAAATGGAGGACCCTTGGCAGAGACCATCCACGCCGAACAAAAGCGGGGAGCACTGCTTAATTAGTTTTACCAAGTTTGTTTGTCTCGTTTGTTTAAGGTTACTTTATTAACACTTATTATTTTCTGCATTATACTTATACCGGTAAAAGTTTTAGAACACCACACTTTTTCCAGTTTTTTACTCTTTACTGTTGACCAAAACATATTCTAAACTTTTTATTCATTAGTGTCCACCTTTGGCAGATATAACAGCTGAACACATTCGTGGCTCATTCTTTCTACAATAGAATATCAAATATTCTTCAGAAAGTTCTTTCCAAGTCTGTTGCAGAAGGTCCCATAAATGTGTGGCACTTGTAGGTTGCTTGACTTTCACTCTTCTGTCCAGTTCATCCCAAAACCAGCTCGATGGAGTTTAAGTCTGGAGACTGTGCTGGACACTCCAAGTTTTCAAAAGTTTACCATCTTGTTCGTTTTTCCTGAGGTAGTTTTGGCAGAGCTTGGACTTGTGTTTTGTATCTTTTATCTTTTTTTTTTTAACCCTCTGGCTGTTCCGTACTTGCCTTTGTACCATTTCAAGCTCTTCATTGGACTTGCACGACTTGAACTGGAATAAATAACTGGAAAAATTAGGGTGTTCTAAAACTTTTGACCAGTAGTGTATTTGCCTTCTTGTTACTTTGATTAAGTTAGTAATTTTAGTTAATTATTTCACATAATTCCCCCCTCTTATGTTCAGGTTTAGTTGGCCCTCATATATTTAAACACCCTTGTTTTTTGTCTGGTGGGATTAGTTTTGTTCTGTTCAGTTTGATTTAAGTTACCCCTGTTGGGCCTGGCTTTTTGTTAATGATTTACCAAATTAGAGCCTTTGTTAAATAACATATATTTTTTTTAACTTTATTAAATTTAAACTTATTTTTATGCCTTGTCATTGCCTTTCTGTTTGGCCCACTACAGGAGCCAAACATTATAGGTAGGGATGTGCAAAAATATTGAAATATCGATATATTGTATTGTTTAATGTGATGATACAGTATCAATATTGGGGACTGCTGTATCGATATATCACCAAGAGTATTTTTTGCTGTATTTTATTAAATTATTTTGTTACAGAGCTACAGTTTTATTGCTTGTTTAGAGGAAGGAATCCCATTTCTGCAACACATTTGACATTTTCACTGTTTTGATGATTTAAATGGGAGTGTTTCATATTAACTTTGCACAAGAAGTGGTTTAACAAAGACTTTTAGTATCACAGCTGTGATTTAACCTTTATTTTTATTGAACCATATCAAATCAATTTGAAATATATTGAAACAAAAGCTCACTGTATCGTATTGTGGCCTATGTATCGTATCGGTAACTTCTTAATTATCCCCAGCCCTAGTTATAGGTGATGTCACCCTCCCTCAGTCCACTGGTCTATACAGTCTATGATTTAAACAAAAGTGAAACCTTAATTTGTGACTTTGTGGGGCTTGCTATGGATTTTAAAAGCTAAATATCAGTATTGGCAGGCCAAATATCGGTTATTAGTAGAGCTGGGTATCATTAAGTTGCCGATATGATACATACCTCGATACATAGGCCAAGACACGATACATATCTCGATACAGTGCACTTTCGATTCAATATGATAGATTTCAAATTGATTTGATAAGGTTCAATAAAAAATAAAGGCTAAATCATGGCTGATACTGAAAGTGTTTATTAAACCACTTTTTGTGCAAAGTGAATATGAAACACAACATTTTAATCATCAAAACAGTGAAAATGCCAAACGTGTCACATAAACAAGTTTCCTTCCACTGAACAAGCAACAAAACTGTAGCACTGTAACAAAACAGTTCTGTAAAATATCCCAAAAAATACTCTTGGCGATATATTGATACAGCAGCCCATGATATCGATACTGTATCATTACATGAAACGACATGATATATTGAAAATTTTTGCACACCCCTAGTTATCAGTTTAAGAAAAAAAAAAATTAAAAATTAAAAATCCATGTCGAACCGTCCCTCCAGCTAACTACCACTCTATCCACCACATTATTATTCCTTGTTTTTCCGCTCCTGTTTAGAATGCAGGGCTAACTAGCAGAAGTGCCACAAACGCTCCGGCGGGGACTTGCAGATGTGATTGTGAAATGCTAATGTATGCATGCGCGGAGGTGCTAGCCAGCGTACCTTGAGTTCTTCATGTAGAGCCAGTAGATCAGAGCCACCACTGCAGCGGCGAGAATCAAACCCACAACCACGCCCACTATGAGCTTGGCCTGGTCATCGGACTCCTCCTGAGAATCTGAGAGACGTGCAGATCATTAGCAACTGTGCCAAGAAATCCACTGTCACTGCAAATGAGCAATACAGTTTCTTCAACAGAACAGAGCAGAAAACCCACAGAAATGATCCTGGTTTTGATACAAACAGATAGATGGATAGATTAGAAGAAAAAGATGAAGAGGGAGGAGAAGGAAAAGAAGAAGCATTAATCTAGTTTTGATAGAAATAGACAGATAGATAGATGGATAAGAAGAAAAGAAGGACAAGAAGAATTATTCTAGCTGTACTAGAAATATAGATGATAGAGAAGAAGAAGAAGAAGATAAAAAAAGGGAGGAGAAGGACAAAAAGAAGAATTATTATAAATTATTAGTTCTGATAAAAATAGATAGATAGATAGATAGATAGAACAAAGAAAAAGAAGATTATCTTTCTATTCTAGTTTTGATAGAAATAGATACAGTAAATAGATGATAGATAAGAAAAAGAAGACGAAGAAAGACAAAAACATTTATTCTAGTTTTAACAGATGGAGAGACAGATAGATAAATAAGAAGAAAAGGAAGAAGCAGAAGAATTATCCTAGTTTTGACAGAAATAGATAGATGATTAATAGATAGATAAGAAAAAAGGACAAGATGAAGAATTATTCTAGGTTTGATAGAAACAGACAGATAGATAGATAAATAAATAGAAGAAGAAGCAGAAGAAGAAGATAAATAATTATTCTAGTTTTCAATAGATGGAGAGATAGATATGTAAGAATAAAAAGAAGCAGAAGAAGAATTATCCAAGTTTTGATAGAAATAGACAGATAGATAAAGAAGATTCTAGTTCTATTCTACTTTTGATAGAAATAGATACAGTAAATAGATGACAGATAAGAAGAGAAGAAAAAGAAGAAGAATGACAAAAAATTATTCTAATTTTAATAGATGGAGAGACAGATAGATAAATAAAAAGAAAAAGAAGCAGAAGAATTATCGTAGTTTTGACAGAAATAGATAGATGATTAATAGATAGATAAGAAAAAAAGGACAAGATGAAGAATTATTCTAGGTTTGATAGAAATAGACAGATAGATAGATAAATAAATAGGAAAGAAGTAGTAATAGAATAAGAAGAAGAAGAAGAGTTATTCTAGCTTCAATAGATGGAAAGATAGATAAGAAGAAATAGAAGAAGCAGAAGAATTATCCAAGTTTTGATAGACAGATAGGTAGATAAGAGGAAAAAACATAGATTAGAAGAAGAAACATTTTTAATCACAAACCTCTCTGAACACTACTGGACATCATGACACCAGCTAATACATATATAGTTAATAAATAAGGAGTTTTAAATATTTCACTGCCTTATTTTTAATGCATGCTCTTACTTTAATTGATAACATAGTTTAAAAGTTCAATTATTAATCAGTGCTTTATGTTTTATGGATAAATACAAATAAAATAGTGTGCCCAAACCAGCTTTTGAATTCTGTGGTCCTTGCCAGTGACTTAGTAGCTTTATGTAGTATCTCTAGTGCTTTTTATTTATTTATTCCAACTTAATTTGACCAGGGAAAATGCTGGACGGTTGAGAATAAAAACATTTGCAAACATGACCTGTTCTTGACCAGATCTCTGCTTCTAAAACAGCTATATTTGATCTTTCTAATGTGCACTTAAAACGCATTGAAGTGCACTTGACACGGAGAGCCCTATATGCCGGCTGTCCAATCAATTACACTAAACACCGAAGACCTAATGAGTCAGAAACCATCTTCAAAGTTGGTGATTATTTAGATGTATATTCATGTAATCATCTTGTGAAGCTCATTCAGAAAGCTAACTTAACTCTGAGCCCCTTATCTCATTCTAAAATCCTATTAGCACAACATGGTGGCTTCTGATGAGAGACTGGCCATCCTGTTCTGGAGTCATTCAGGAGTGTCGCTAAAATGAGTTGTATATTTTTATGCAAAATAGAAGACCTTGGACCTTAAAATAATATTAAACCTAATATATTAATGCATAATGGAATCTTCAGGCATTATTGTGGCATATTTTAAGCATATTTAGAAGCCCAGTGTTCCGTGTTTCTCATTTTTTTCATTAGTTTCTCTGAAGATGAATTTATAACATCAAAATTATTAGCTGTGCTTTATTGCATTTTCTGTGAGTGCCAGAAAATGTTTTTAGTTGGGAATTTTCTTATAAAGATTGTGACTGCGTTTTGATTAGCGTTTATTTTGGGATAGTCGAATTCTGTTCACATTTTAAACATGCCATTAAAGGTGCATTAAAGGTGCACAATGTAACTTTCCGGTAGTGGGTCCGTCACCTTCTTGTTTCTAAGGAAATGTCATTGCTCTGCTTGGAATACTCCACAATATGGCATTAAACAGATCCACATTACATTTATCCAATTACAAATGGTTTTACAGCTCAAATGGATTTACAGCTCAATAAAAAACAGGGATTCTGAGTGTGAGCGGGGTCGCCTCTCCACAGATCTGACCTGTAACTTGGATCCCGTTTACACCGAAACGAATTCGCATATCAGTGTATCAGAAACGATCTGCATCCACACACGTCATTTCTGTGTCCGCAATCCTTCCTTATGTGCACAGCTTTGAGCGTATGTTATGTCTTTACAGAAACAAATCTTAAAACCCCATGGCTAATTTGCATAAACTGAGAGAGCAAAATAGCTCGCTATTGTGCGCTGACGCGATTCAGATTCTGTCGCACTAAAGGACAGGACTCAGTGGATTATATGTGTTCTTTCTGTGACAGAGGGGTGTTCTGCTAATGGTGAGTCTGTTCTGTGTTTCTACTGCGTTACAGATGATTCATGAAACTTTTCAGAGATTATTCGTCTGCAGGTCATATGCATGGACAGTATATATGAATACATGATATCCTCTTAGCGTTTTGGCCATGAATTAGCTACTTCGCAGTTTCGGTGTATCAGTTTTTCAGGTGTCCACACAGTGCAGATCAGATTCATACTTAGATGAATTCGTGGGAGCTGACGGCACCAGATCATTCCGTCTCTGGAGCCGTTTTCAATCAGATTAGTGTGGACGAACACTGCAGTCACAACAAAATCGGTTCGAATACGTACTAGCATGGACAGGGCCTTGGTTTGGTTTGGTCTCTGTGATGATTGAACGTTTTAAAGCCATACAGTGAAACATTTCAGACAAAGCAATAACATCTCCATGAAGAAAAGCATTTGATGGACACTGAAAAGACCCTGAAAAGATCTGAACTGCTACACTAATACAAGAATCCCATGAATTTCACAACATTTCTCTAGAGGTCTGAACTACATGATTAGCGGTTTTTAACATAATAAGCCAGTTGTTTGCAAAGGAAATAATGTTAGCTTAATAATTACAGCCCTTGCGCTTTGCTAACTGAGACTATTCAAATTTTGATTAGATTGGAACATATCTTGCAGCCCTAATATCTAATCAAGTCTGAATTTAATATTGTCGTGAATATGTAGTTTTCATTTCACCATGTGTTGTGAAACTCAGCCCCCAGATAATAAAAATCTGACACCACGTTCGAATCCTAACGTGTCTGTGTGAAACGTGGCAGGCGGTACACATTTTTTATAGCGTGCCTCGAATGAACTCTTTGTCAAAGCCTAAATCTCCAAACACTTTATTGCTAGAGCCGCTGTTTATATTTCTGCTTCTTGTTCTCGTGGTTATTGTAGCGACGGAGGACCCTGGAGCTTTTCGTGTACATTCTGGGAACATCAACGGCGCTCCATGATGCCCAGGATATTGTTAGGCCTGCTACGTTCTTTTAATAGAACAAAACTGCAATGGGATATGCTTTAAAGGGCCCACATTACGCTGTTTTCTGATCTGTTATAATGTTGTTTCCTCATCCAAAACATCTGGAGTTGTGTTTTGTTTCATTCAAATATTTAATGCATAAATCCTGCATATTTAGGCTGAGTTCTTGTCTCAAACTGTCAATGCTCTGTTCCACTTTGTGATGTCATGTGGTAATAAAGAAAGTGCTCATGTTTTTAAATGCCATACACATTCAGCAAAATCATTTGGATGAGTTCAGTCCTGGAATTGCCAATTTCTACTAAACAAAAGGTAAAGGGTAGCTCATGCAGCTAATATCCGGAATAATCTTCCTAAAGATGTTAAACAGGCCTGTACTTTGATGCAATTTAAATCCAGGCTCAAAACTCTTCTGTTTAGCTGCATATGACTGAAAGGTTTTCATTTTTCATTCCGCACTCTTCTCTCTAATTTAATGTCTCTCTCCCTTTTTAATTTTATGATGATTATATATGTTTTGATCTGTTTGTATTGTAATTTTAAAGTATTTATTTTTCTCTAAAGCACTTTGAATTACTTTGTGTACAAATGATGCTATACAAATAAACTTGCCTTGCCTTTACTTGAAAACTACAGTTTTGTGATGTCACAAGGTGGAACAGCAGAGGTGGGACCAAGTCGTGGTTTTCCAAGTCTCAAGTAAGTCTCAAGTCTTTGACCTCAAGTCTGAATCAAGTCCCAAGTCAAAAACAGGCAAGTCCAAGTCGAGTCTCGAGTCACTGGTCCATAAGTCCAAGTCAAGTCCAAGTCATCTGCTTTAAGCTTCAAGTCATTTCAAGTCTTTAAACCAAAGTACCAAATACCAATACAAAAGTACCAAGCTTAGATATTTTTTGCAATTTATATGAATTTTAAAATAAATTGTACTAATACATTCAAAGTATGTTTATATATGAGTATTTATAGTGTATATAAGAGTAGAAGAAATACACATTTTTCCATTTTAAGTGTCTTGACAAGATCTTAGAATGAATCATTACTGTCAGAATAGAAATAATTCAGATTTAAAAGTGCTTCTCAAGTCTTCTCAAGTCACAGGCCTCAAGTCAGAGTCAAGTCCCAAGTCACTGACCTTCAAGTCTAAGTCACATCCCAAGTCTTAGTCCATTTTATCAAGTCAAGTCTCAAGTCCTAAAATAGTGACTCAGGTCTGACTCGAGTCCAAGTCACGACTTGTCCCCACCTCTGTGGAACAGAGCATTTTGAGGTCTGTAGATGTAGACAGACTAATAATAAAGGGTTACTCAAACATGTGTGAACGAAACAAAACAACTCCAGGTGTGTTTTTGAGAAGGTAACAACATTAGAACATGGCTAAAATGGTAAATGGTCACATTTTTCTATAGCGCTTTTCCACCTTCAAGGCACTCAAAGCGCTTTACAACAAGGAACCACTCACCCATTCACACACCAGTGTACGCAGACACTGTGGGCAATGTGGGTTAAGTGTCTTGCCCAAGGACACAACATTCATCTGTGGGAGCTGGAATCACACCAGCCAACCTGTGGGTCAGTGGATCTGACCGCTCAACCTGTGATGTTTTTGTCAAGAGCTGGAATTGAACTGCCAACCTTCAGATCAGTGGGCGATTGCTCTACCAACTGAGCTACTGTCGCCCAAATAAAAGCTCTCAAGAGTCAATTTTGTGTAATATAGGACCTTTAACATTGCCAGTTAACTGTGTACTCTCTGTTTTACACATGTCTCAGTCTAGCACAGCGGGGGAGGAGCCTGTCGTAACGCATTATTCATATGGGCTGTGTTGACATGTTGTGACTGCATGGGGGAAGCCTGTGGGACCTGCTTGTTGTTGTTGTTGTTGTTGTTACTGATAACTGGTGATGTCTGTCTGTGTGCAGGTACAAATATGGAGTAGCAGATGGCCAGTGTACGATCCATATGTTCACGCTTCTGTGTGGATTGTACTGTATTTCACATAGATGCAGAACGTGTGACTGTCTATTGTTGGTCTTATATTCACTGTATAAGCTATTATATTATTATTATTATCAGCTTGTTTCTATGGAAATGTCATTGCTGTGCTTATAATATTCTGCAGTATGACATTAAACAGCTCTACCTTACATTAATTCAATTACAGGTGATTTTAGGTTTTATAGCTCAAAAATACCTAGAAAAACAGGTATTTTGATCCCGAGCAGCGTTGCCTCTCCACAGATCTGACCTGTAACTTGGCCTGGTTTGGTCTCCATGAAGATAGAAAGCTTTCATGTCATAGTGTGAAATATTTCAGACAAAGCATTAACATCTCCATGGAGAAAAGCACCACCAGAAAAGTTACACAATGCACCTTTTAAGGGCATGTATCTGATTTTGTCCCATGTATCTGAGTTAATTTTGTCTTGTCTCAGAACAGATGTATTGGATAAGTAGCCCTTGAGGTCAAAATATGTGCGCTGCGTGCTGTCTGCTTTTTATAAGAAAGCATTTTATTGACCGATAATCAGTAAGTGCGCATTAGCATGTGGTTGTTGTTAGCTTTAACGTCATGGCAATGCTCCACACTGGTCTCTGAGAGTTTTGAAAAACACCCATAAGCTCACTGCGGTGAATAATTAGGATGCTCTGAATAGAGAGACCGATATTTGCCCTTTTTAGCGTATCAGCTATGGGCCATAAATCTCCAGTAGAGGCAGATATTTTGTTTGTTTGCCCCGACCAGCAGCCTAAATAAACATAAAAAATATATGAATAAAGCTTTGTTTGAACACTCTAGTCCAAAGAGGATACTGCAAAAATGTGGCCACACTGGACTCTACACAGTTTGCACTAAAAGAAGGTTGTGGATGAATTTGTACTATATTTTAATTTAGGAAAAATGACTCAAATCGGCTCTACATAACGGCCCAAAAATATCAGCAGAGCTTATCGGTGATCAGTTCCTTTGGATTCTAAACAGTTTGTCTCAGTATCAACCAGAGGTGGGACCAAGTCTTTGTTTTGCAAGTCTCAAGTAAGTCTCAAGTCTTTGACCTCAAGTCTGAGTTAGGTTCCAAGTCAAAAGCAGGCAAGTCCAAGTCGAATCTCACTGGCCCATAAGTCCAAGTCAAGTCCAAGTCGTCTGTTTTGAGCTTCAAGTCATTTCAAGTCCAAATATATCTTAGATTTTTGCTATTTATTTGACTTTAAAAATAAATTGTACTTAAAAAATCATAGTATATTTAAATATGAGTATTTATATAAGAGTTGTAGAAATACATTTAGTTAATGTTTCCTTTTTAAATGTCTGGACAAGTTCTTAGTGTAAATCATTACTGTCAGAATAGACAGAATTTGGATTTAACAGTGCTTCTCAAGTCTTCTCAAGTCATAGGCCTCAAGTTGAGTCCCAAGTCTTAGTCCATTTTATCAACTCAAGTCTCAAGTCCTAAAAATAGTGACTCAAGTCTGATTTGAGTCAAGTCACGACTTGATAGTCCCACCTCTGGTATAAACCATGAAAAAGACACAAAATGCCTCGTATACTGTACATATATTCCTATCTAAACTCTCATAAACCAAATACAACTCAACAGTGTAATTCACTTAAGTGACTTTAAACACATATGTTTTCTTTTTAGACCATTGCAATTGTTTTAACTGAATGCCTATAGGTTCAACAAATATGTATATGTACATTTTATTATGCATTTTTATAAATTTTAAATCTTTTATGTTTTTAACTATGTACTCATGGCCCTTAAAAGTGAGGACTTAATGATAAGATAAAATTTAATTGAACTGTATAAGAATACAGATTAATTTAGCAATTTATCCCTATGATCCCAGCGGAGAAGAAACAATCATTAAAATGTGTAAGAGGACGTGTGTGTGTGTTTTTCTTATTTACCCAAAACTATGCACATTTTTATTAATCCCAGCATCATACTCCTGATAATCTGGAGTCTATAATCTGTTTTATCTCCCTCTTACATCTTATTAGCATGAGAGAGAGCGGCTCAGAGCAGTAATGAAGATGGAGACAATGAGATGAGCGCACACATACACAGACGCTGCGCTTGTGTACCAAATTAAACCGCTGGATGTTTACCTATAGCGTCATCAACCAAACCATTAAACCCAATCTCTTTGTAAATATTGTTTTGGGAGAAAATAAAGTCAAAAAAGAAAAGGATAAAGCAAAAAAAACCAAAAAAAAATCTTACCTTTTTTTTCTGTATCTTCATTAAAAACTGAAACCAAACAAAAGTAAATTAGAAATCATAACAAAACTAAAACAAAAGAAAGATGCAGTGTAATGTAATGTAGCGTAGAGCAGACGATGCCAAGCAAGATCAAAGTTACATCCCCTTATTGTACCTCACAGCGGTAATCTTGGCACATTTTGAATAGCATCTACAGGCTAGAAATTATATGCTTTCAGGACATAAAACAGGGCAGAAAAAGGGAGACAGGCTTAGCTCGCAAACAACAAGAAACCCAACCCAAAAGACACACGGATTACTGCACATTCAGAACAGGAAGGAAAACGCGATGGTAATGTGGTGTTTAGCATGAAATGAAAGAGGGCTTGCATTCAGCATTAGCCTTTGACAGTCTGACCATTCATTACATAGGCTTATTTTGTTGTATTCTGTATCTGTAGTGGGCTCGGTGGTGTAAATATGCAGTGTAATTGGTCCTTCTGTTCGCGCATGTTTTTATGGGAGCTGCTTGTTGTAAACACCATTTCTCAGAGGTTTCATTCAATAACTGGCTTTTGATAATAGTGGGAGAAAATGGATCATAAACAGCATTATTTAATTATTGCTAATGTATTCACTGGAGAGCATGCCGAGGTAAAGGATGTGTTGATTGCGGTTTCATTAGTGATTTTATTTGAATGTTTGATACAAGTAACGGCAATTAATTAAAGTCAGGAGTTGAGTCTTTTTTCTATTTGCGATTCAACATAAAAGATCTGTCTACTCTGTGCTTAATAGAAAGTATAGCTCACATCCAAAAATGTTTTAATGACTAAACTTCGGCTCACTTCGGTTTAAAGGACCCATATTACGCTATTTTATGATCATATAATAGTGTGTAGTTTCCAAGTTAAAGAGACAGTCCAGAATTTTGGACATAGGACCTCATTTCCTAGTGACCCAGAGCATTGGAGACATGTGGAGACACTTTTTTAAATGTTCCATCCACTCCTTGTATTTGCAGAGGTCACTGGTGCTAGGCTAGTTCATGTCAATGGCCATAATTTGCCTGCCACTAAAAACAGTTTTACCCACTCCACAAAGCAACTGAAGCAAATCTATGATTACACCAGACTGTCGATGTAAATGTCTGTGTCGACAGATTAATTTTAGAAGTAAAACCAACCTTGCATTTGTCGGATTTATGTCTGAGCAGCAGCAGTGAGTTGTATTTACTGATAGAAAGCTTGGCAGCGGCGGACTGATATCACCTAGCACCTATCTTACCGGCGAAGTAAAATTCCACTGCAGCTGAGAAATTAGTCCCTCAACATGCAGCGATTCATGTGATGCAAGGCTAGTTTTATTTCAAACATTATTCTATCGACACAGACATTTACATTGACAGTCTGACATAATAAGTGATTTGCTTTGGGTGCTTTGTGGAGTGGGTAAGACTGTTTTTAGCACCAGTGACCTCTGCAAATACAAAGACTGGATGGAACATTTAAAAAAGTGTCTCCACATGTCTCCAACACTCTGGCTCACTAGAAAATGGCGTCCTATGTCCAAAATCCTGAACTGTCCCTTTAATAGCTACCTTTTACCTTTAGTTCAGTAGAAATTGGCAATTCCAGGGCTGAGATCATCCAAATGATTCTAGTGAAGGTGTGTGGAGTTTAAAAACACACTGGAGTATGTCCTGTATTACACCATGACATCACAAAGTGGAACAAATTGTTTTCTGATTGAGAGAAGACCTCAGCGTAAATATGCAGGATTTGTGTGAATGAAACAAAACACAACTCCAGGTATGTTTTTGGTGAGGAAACATTATAACATAGAGCAGAAAATAGCGTAAAATGGGCCATTTATATGAACAAGTCACTTCCTCTTCAGTGAATACAAAAGTGGCTGCTCCTACTACTACTTATACTACTAATACTACTACTAGTATTTTCTAATGCATAAATTTCAGCTTATACTGCCCTCATAGGGGGTAATAAATAAACCAACCCTGCCACTTCCTCTTCAGCGAATACAAAAGTGCTGCTCCCTGGTGAGACATTTTTCTTGTAAATAAAATCAGTTTGCGTTGACAAAGTACATGAGCATACATTTTGGACTCACTTAGTAACCATGTCTACTCCACACCGCAGCGCAGGGTAATTACTCGAGAGCCAGTAATCTGAGCCTCATTATGTCCAAAAAGCAAATAGCCCAAGCGCTCCTCGCAACATCTGCATTGCCTTTCATAGGATATAAGCAGGAACTGACAGTATACACCAAAGAAATCAATACTCAAACTACGTCTGCTTCTTTCTATGCCGTCGCTGCCTAGAGCCCTACACAATACCGCTGTGATGTGATGGAGATGTGTGAATATGGTTGATGACAATTTAAGATTTGTCTCTTGCTTAAAATACTCAAAAGGGAAATGACGTAAAATAAGACGCTTTCTATTTCACTAGAATACGTTCTTTCTATGTGATTTGATTTAATATTGTGTGCATTATTCAGAGGTGAAAAAGCAATTAGAGGTATTCAACTTTTTGGGGAAATTTCAGAGGAAGTTTTAGCAGTGGCAGCAGACGATGTAAGTATCAGTAGTGGGAGTAATACTGGTTTGGGTATAAGTACACATAGTCCACATTCAGGAGCAGTTGCAGGAATAATGCTAGTAGTAGCAGTTTGTTAATTGGTAGTAGTAGTAGTAGTAGTAGTAGTAGTATACAGTAGTGAGAAGTAGTAGTAGTACTATAGAGCAGTGAGAAGTGGTAGTAGTAGTAGTATAGAGTAGTGTGACGTGGTAGTAGAAGTAGTAGTAATAGTCTTAGTGGTAGTAGTAGTATAGACTAGTGAGAAGTGGTAGCAGTAGTCGTAGTAGTAGTAGTATAGAGTAGTGAGAAGTGGTAGCAGTAGTGAGAAGTGGTAGTAGTAGTAGTATAGAGTAATGAGAAGTGGTAGTAGTAGTACTAGTAGTAGTAGTAGTAGAAGTAGTAGTAGTAGAAGTAGTAGTAGTAGAAGTAGTAGTAGTAAGTAGTAGTAGTAGTAGTAGTAGTAGTAGTATAGAGTAGGGAGAAGTGGTAGTAGTAGTAGAAATAGTAGTAGTAGTACAGTGTAGTGAGAAGTGGTAGTAGTAGTAGTAGTAGTAGTAGTAGTAGTAGTAGTAGTAGTAGTAGTAGTAGTAGTAGTAGTAGTAGTAGTAGTAGTAGTAGTAGTAGTAGTAGTAGTAGTAATAGTAATAGTAGTGGTAGTAGTAGAATAGAGTAGTGAGAAGTGGTAAAAACTTTGCGCAAATTATTGATAATTTGCAGCGAGATCACACCGGGGGATGTTCTACATGTATCTCTATGGTGGAATGCTCAGCAGTTACCATGGAGATACAATGCACAAAAACTGTTGGCTAATGCCAGCGTACAAGACTTGTTTAACAGCGCAAATCACCTCACCTGCTGTAGCTCCAGCCAACTCAGTTCTTTACGATCAGATTGTGTTAAAATAAAGCTCAGATTAAAGTCTAACAAGCCTCAGACAGAGCAGTGCCTACAGTTGGCATCACACCCCCAGGAAACGTTGATGACATCAGCTGCAAAGTATCAGAAGTGCAATTACACGTACTTGATAGCGCATCATTCTCAAAGCCAGTGTAATATGTTATGTGGTATGTTTTCATCTCCTCTTCTTCCTGTAGCTCTTTGTGCTTGTCACGGCTGGTTCTATAATAACTATACAATGTACACTGACTTGGCTCCATTTAAATGACCCAGTTTTCGTAGCTGTGCAGAGCCTATCATTAAACTTCCTTATCTCCTGGGTGGGTTGATCATAAAAGATAAGCGTCTCAACACAGAGCTTCTTTGCGTAGCTGTTTGCTCTACTTCCCCTGCACCGTTTAATGTCACTTCTTTTGTTACTGCGCAGAATAGCATTGTTAAAACCAAGCAGTCATTATTAAAATGAGCCTTCAGAAATCAAAGAAGGAGCTGCTGGCGAAAGAAACCAACTCCAACTGCAATTTGATATTGCCACTAATACAATGGAGTCACCGGCGGCCCTGTGTGTTCCCCACAGAGCTGAGCTACACAAAACTGGAAAAGCGAAATAAGTGAAGGTCAGGGAGGTTAGCGTCTGGAAAACAATGTCCCGACAGCGAATGAGATTACGCTGATTTAATGTTTTAATGACTGTCAAAAGCAATGTTTAGAGAATGCAGCATCCCTCACCACACTTAAGCTCAAGATTAATTTGACTAATTTCGCTCTCTCTCTCATTTCGGCTAATGCGTCTTAATTAGTGCTAGCCAGCTTGATACATTAACTGGCACAATACAAAATGACTGCAAAGCCTATGCTAATGTCCCATTTGTATCTGGAAATGCCCAATATTGTGCATTTTAGTAGAAGAAGAACAGTACCTTAAACCTAATAAAAGAGCCAAAAGCACGAATAGTGTAAAATAAAGCTGTAGTTGCAGTAACAGAAGTTGCAGTACTGTAAATATTTTTTTTAATATTACCATGTTTTTCACACTGTAAGGCACACCGGATTATAAGGTGCAATATCAATAATGATGAATTCTCTCGTCTGTTTTCAAACATAAGGCGCACTGGATTATAAGGCACATTGAACGAAACAAACACTTGAGACTGATCCCTTAGCCCAGGCATCCACGATACATCGACAGATCATGGTGTAACTCGCCCAGCGTTGCCTCCCTGTCTTGGTGAGTAAGTATTATGAATGTTAATGTGGGAGACTAATAATAAGTTTGTTTTTTTTATTTCCTACTAGGTGGACTCAAATATACATTGAGTAATAATGTGTTTAATGCAGCTTTGACCACATTTGTTTATGTTTTACAGAAACAAAACTTAAAACTACATGACTACTTTGCATAAATTATAAACGCTGAAAAAATAACTCACTCCTTGTGCCACAGATGGGGTCAGCTTCTGTCGGACTAAATCTGCAAGCCTCCTGACTATGGTAACGGTAGTCGTAAAGCTCCGACAATCCATCAAGCAGTACGTCTCTGTAGCTTACCAAAGTCGTACTAAAACATTTTGACAGATTTTTGAGCGCCGTGTACCACATAAAACTGATTCAAGGTCAGTAAACACAACCTGAATTAATACATAAGGTGCACCGGATTATAAGGCGCACTGTTGATTTTTGAGAAAATTAAAGGATTTTAAGTGTGCCTTAGTGTCTGAAAAATACGGTAGTAATAGTAGTTTAAAGGGCCTGTACCAGATTTTTGCCATGTATTTGAGAAAAATTTGTCTTACCCCAGTACAATTACAAGCAGCTCTTGAGGTCAAAATACGTTAGCTGCATTTATAAGTCCAATAATCAGGATGTGCGTGTTATAAACTCATCGCGGTGAATAAGTAGGATCCTCTGAATGCATAAGGAAAGTGAGGAATAACTATGGACCCCTGCAGACAATTGAACTAGTGGCATTTTTCAAGATTTTTTAATACAGTAAAATCAGGTACAGCACCTTTAATAAAAGTGTAAGAAACTGTAGTAGAGTTGTGTGTAAGGTTCTCTATAAGTTCAAGCAGGAAATATAAGAAAATGTGCATCTAAAACTCACCAGAGGAGACGTTGATAGTCATGGCATCTTCTCCTAGCTTGTTGCTGACGATGCAGGTGACGGTAAGGTTCACCTTGGGTATTACGGTAATTTTATGGGTAGCCTTGCCTTTGGTATATTCACTCCACTCCTGCTGGGAAATGAGAAAATGAATAACAGGAAGCACAAATATTTGCAGTAAAAAAACCACATGGCGCTCCCTTTACACATTATAGACATACACATTCACGTTCGGTTGGAAGTGAAGTGATGAGTTGGGATGGTGACAGAGCAGATGATTGCGGGACATATAACTGAAAATGGAAAGAGGAGGTTGGATATGCACTCGCTCAGAATGAACATAACATAAACAGAACGTAAATATTTCTCATCTCATCCAAAAACACAACAGGTCAGAGGAATGGAGTGATCACAAAATGCATCAGTGCAAATGTGATCTGCACTAAGGCGGCACTAATTTGGAAAAATATCAAATTGCTGGGTTTTTTGGTATATTTTTTGGGCATTTTTCACAATATTTTTTTCTGAATTGTCATGACTTAGTGATTTATGCACTGTCACTTTTCTGGTGGAAGATGAGCAACCGCCTTGTCACCATATGTCACCAGATGTTATTTTTTTGCATAGAATGTTCTACTACATGACATTAAACTAATCCTGCACACATATATACAACTACAGGTGTTTTTACTGCTCAAGAATACCTTAAAAAGATTATTTCAGCATTCTTACTAAGAGGGGGTCTCCTCTGCACAGATCTGATCAATAAACTGGCCTGGTGTTTGTTTTTACAGAGATGGATAAGTTTAATGACATACTGTGGAACATTCAAAGCAAAGCAATAACTTCTTTGGAGACTAGCAAGTGACGCACCCTCCACCAGAAAAGTTACACAATGCACCTTTAAAGGCAAAGAGAGAAAACTGAAATATGAGCTGATAAACTAATATAAGAAGCATATACACTACCGGTCAAACGTTTTAGAACACCCTCATTTTTCCAGTTATTTATTGAAATTTAAGTCGTGCAAGTGAAGAGCTTGAAATGGTACAAAGGTAAGTACTGAACAGCCAGAGGTTAAAAAAAATATAAAAGATACAAAACACAAGCCTAAGTTCTACCAAAACTACCTCAGGAAAAAAGAACAAGATGGTAAAGCTTGAAAACATGGAGTGTCCAGCACAGTCTCCAGACTTAAACCCCATCGAGCTGTTTTTTGGGATGAACTGGACAGAAGAGTGAAAGCCAAACAACCTACAAGTGCCACACATTTATGGGACCTTCTGCAACAGACTTGGGAAGAATATTTGAAGAATATTTGACTTCTATTGTAAAAAGAATGAGCCACGAGTGTGTTCAGCTGTTATATCTGCCAAAGGTACACTTTCATGAACCAAAAGTTTAGAATACGTTTTGGTCAACAGTAAACATTAAACTGGAAAAAACTGGGAAAAGTGTGGTGTTCTAAAACTTGTATTTCAGAACATGTTTGTAGAGGTCAGAACAACAGGGCAAGCATTTTGTTTTTTACATAATAGAAAGGAGAGGAAGTTTTGCTGCTTAGATAACTGCTGTCTTGCGATTTCCTAATGGCGACAACTAAAATTGAGATTTCTATTCGAATATGATTTATCTTGCAGCCGTAATCTGCACAAACAGTGGGACAGTAGCTCTGGGAGATTAAACAAAAACAGTTTCTACATGTCTTCCATCCATAGACTGTAAAAGTGGACAACGCTAACCTACTAGCTGCTGCGTTTGAAATAAGAAAATGAAGCCTGGCTCCAGTTCACATTCTATTGAAAAATTGACGAACATTAATGAATGATTCGTGAACATCAATAACAAACTCCCATCTTTCTCCAAGGTCGGCTCCAGGTAGTGTTAGCAACTGGTTTGATTGACAGCTATCGTGCTTCGTTGCTATGCGCCCGCCCCTTGACAAACTAGCGGCGTGGGCTGGTGCCTTCAGCGCACTCGTAAGTCTAAATATGAAACCAGCTCCAAATTATTATCCCCTATAAATGCAAGCCTCGGTAGGTTTCAGCTGTCTAGAGTCGAACAATATGGCATCTCTTGGTCCACGTCTATATAAAATTTATGGTTTCATCTTATCATTTGTTGAATTTAAAGGGCCAGTATTACACAAAATTTACTCCTGTGAGTTTTAAGCCATGTTTTAATGTTGTTACCACATCAAAACATGTCTGGAGTGGTATTTTGTTTCATTCACACATGTTTGAGTAACCCTGGATTAAAGCCAACAAACAAAACACCACTCCAGATATGTTTTTGATGAGGAAACAACATTATAACATAGATCAGAAAAAAGGTGTAATATGGGCTCTTTAATAACACTTTGGACATAGTTAAAGTATTAAGTTTATATGTGAGTAGTGATGTGTTGTTCGAAGTTTGTGGTTTAAATTCTTGTTATGTGATCTCGACTTGGCAGCAGAACAAAACTCAGTGATCAGAGAATAAAAGAAAGTTGTTGATGCCACTGAACCATGCCAACATGTTTTTTTCATTCAGACAAGCAGCCCAGAGTGTACCCCCACAAAGAAACCACATTTACAAGGTTAGACTCCAGTACCCACCACTTCTAAGTCGAACTGCAGATGTAAAAGGATGAATGATTTGTTTAGTGTAGTTTTTAAATTGTGGAACTCAGTGTTAATTGTGTTCTTGAACCAGTGAAATTACTTCAAATAATTAAAAGTTCTTTCTGGTCCATGGTAATTTTTGTATTTTCATGATTTTAGATGATGAAAAACAGGCTGTATAACTACTACACCTTAATAAAGCGTACTTCATAATAAAAAAAATAGTTTATTAAGATTGATTCAGGCTTGGTAACTATTTAAAGGTGCACTATGTAACTTTTCTTGTGTTTGGTCCGCTACCAGCTTGTCTCCATGGAAATGTTATCTTTCCATACTTTGCCATTAAACGTATCTATCTTGCTTTAATTAAATTATAGGCGTTTTTACTGATGAAAACCTTGAAAAAAAGTGCATTCTTGCTGTAAGCGGGGATCTTTCTGCAGATCTGATCTGTAACTTGGCCTGACGGCTGTCTCCACAGACATAAACAAGTGAAATGCCAGACTATGGAACATTCTAGGCAAAGCAGTAATTTCAAAAAACAAGCAGGTGATGGACCCACTTCCAGAAAAGTTACACATTGTACCTTTAATTAAAAACACCTAACACTAAACCCTACCGTGCCCCTAAGTACCGTATTTTTCAGAGTATAAGTTGCACTTTTTTCATGGTTTGGGAGGGCCTACGACTTGTACACCAGTGCAATTAAAATTTTCACACTGACAGCCTCAAGAGGATGCTCTACGCTTGTGTGCCAGTATCTGCTATTCCTGTTACTCCTGTACCACTGTCACTTTGCACTTTACTGCACATGTCTCCTGCAGAAAGAGCCGCTGTCCTGTCTGTATCATGTCAGTCGATCACACCATTACTTCTTTACTAACTTCTTTACTGATTACTAATTTTAACATTTAAACAAACGTAAAGACAACCCACACCAACCTGTCGGGATTCAGAAAGGCCGGAATAATTCTAACTAGAACTGAAGCTGAGTCTGATGACAGCTACACAGAAGAGGAAGTGGTGCTCCGTTTACCTCTAGAGGTCACGGAGTTGCACAGAAGTGACACTGAGGATGAAGTATTCAACGGATTTAGTGATTTGGAGTGAGTTGTTTATGCCATAGTTAGTCTGTTGTTCTCTGGTCTATTACTATTACTATAACTTGCGTTTCAAGATGAGATCAGTTCTTGGTCCCTAATTTTATAAAACAAATTTCCCCCAAAAAGTGCGACTTATATATGTTTTTTTCTTCTTCATTACGCATTTTTTGGCTGGTGCGACTTACTGAGTTATTCCTAAAAAAAATATTGATTCATTATTAAGTAGGTCTGTTTTCAAGCTTTAAGGCTGTAAATATATTATACTGTACAATAAAGTGTTACCAAAAAATACTGCTTGGGAATTCAGATTTTCTAAAGGTTTGAAAATACTGACTGCTTCTAACACACATTTCCATATTCCCATGAGGATCAACACAGTCCCTTGAGTGAGGATTGGGACAGAATAAATTATGACTTCTTGATATAAAACTAATTATTAGTTAATATTTTCCTCAATAAAAATTACTCAAAAACTCTTTTACGGAGTGAGTGGAAGACAAGATTTTCTACTTAGCTTCGGAATAGCGATAAACACAGCAATCTGTATAAACATCTAACGTGGCTTATCTTTAATGTAATCTGAAATACGACATAATAAGATGTGAAGACTTTGGACTTCAGACTTCCTTTAATGATCTTTCTCTGAAGTGCTCGCAGTCAAAAGCTTTCCTGAGAGAGAACGCTGCCCCTAGTGGCCTCTGTAGCGCTGGACAAATATTAGTGAGCTCCTTTTAAGATCCCCTCTCTGCTGTGCTTTCATCTACAGCCCTGTTTGATCACAGACTGTAAAAGTTTACGATGCATCTCTGTGCACACGCAGACACTTACAGCAAAGTTCAATAGCAACGTTAAGTGTATCTAAAGGTGCGCTAACTTTTCAGGTGGAGGAGGCCATAAGTTGTCTCTGTGGATATGTTAGGAACCATCACCTTGCATTAAGTGTTAAGGTGCAATTTGTAACTTTTCTGGTGGAGTGTCTGTCATCTGCTTGTTTTCAAGAAGATGTGCCTAGAATGTTCCACAGTGTGGCCATAAACTTACTGTATGAATCTCCAGAGAAACTTGCAAAAGCCAAATTACAGGTTAGATCTGTGGAGAGGTGACCCCACTTGCAGTAAGAATTTATGTTTTTTAGATATTTTTGAGCAATAAACAACACCTGTAGTTGAATAAATGCAAGAGAGCCACAGTGCACCTTTAAGTTTAAGGTACATTTTATTGTCACTGTGGAGAAATTTGTTCACTACAATTAAAGAGAGAAGCAGGGAGCAAACCCCCCACCAGAAAAGTTCCACAGTGCACTTTTAACTCAACAACTCATGAGGGTGTTAGTGAAGATATTATCAAATGCTTTATGCTTTTTTGTGTCTGTAATCCAGGGTAAAAACAGCAGTGTACAGAGCTGTCAGACTGAAGAGGAAAAAGTGAGTAAGGGAGCCCAGTAGGAGCCCTCCTTCACTTTTTGCTTTTCCTGGAATGTTCCACAGTAATGCGTTATACCTCTATATCTCTATAGAGACAAGCAGGTGACACCACCAGGCTGAGTTAAGGTACAGCACAATTTATTGTCGCTGTGGGAAACTTTGTCCCCTGCTAGACTTAGTCACACTGCCACCATTACAGACTGTTAGAGAAAGTCCATTTCTGTGCCACATCTAAGGCAATTACTGCCAGCTCAGTCCTTGTTATCTTCATCTGCATCATCAGAGGTATAATACTCCCTACAACAGAAGCATAGCCAGGCTGGACTGTACTAGACTAGAATGGACAACACTATCACAATGTCTTGAGGGCTCTTATTTCAAGGTGCTGGGTCCAGTACAGATGTAAATAAACCTTTCTATCTTCATGGAGACCAAACCAGATCAAGTTACGGGTCAGATCTGTGGAGAGGCAACCCCGTTCACAGTCAGAATGCCTGTTATTCTAGGTATTTTTGAGCAGTAAAACCACCTATAGTTGAATAAAGGTAAGGTAGATCCTTTTAATGCCATATTGTAGAACATTTAAAGTAGAGTAATGACATAACTATAGAAGACCCCAACCAAAAAATTACATAATGCACTTTTAAATAACTGGCATCCTGTGATTTTCTAATTATGATCACTCAAATTACAGTTACGACTGATGGCAAATAAACTCTCCTGTGTTAGAATACCAATCAGATCTGTGGAAAGGCAAGCCCACCCACAGTAAGAATGCAAGCAATAAAAACTAGGGGATGTAACAATAACCAAAATATCGTGATATCGTATCGTCAAAGTTCTCACAATAATATCGTGTATATCAAATTACAAGTCTCTTTGCTTAAATTAAGAGTTATGGTGCAGCAATAGCTGAAAAAAAGACAGAGGGAACTACATAGACCATGATCCTTTGCTCCATTTCAGTGTAGACTACATGAAGAAATAACAGTTCTAAGCACTTTGAAGTCTTAGTTCTTTGTATTAAGTCTTGTCAAGACATTTTAAGAGGAAAAAGTAGCATATTAACAGTTTTGTTAGCTTCCACAAAATATCTCAATAAATATAGTTGCGTGAGGTTCATACAGTGACGATATCGTATCGTGAGACTTAAATATTGTTACACCCCTAAAAACAATACCTTTATTTGAATAAATGCAAGCTAAATAAGGTTAATACCATACAGTGGAACATTCCAGGCAAAGCAACAACAGCTATCGGACCCTCAGCCAGAAAAGTTACATAGATCTTACATCTTTAATTTTGTTGTCTTTGACTCTTGTTTAGTCCTGGTTTGTTCTTTATTTTGTAATTTAGAAGCTCTTGTTGTGAATGGTCAGCACTATTCAACAATTATACACAAGCAAGTAGCAGACCCCCACCAGAAAAGTTCTACAGTGCAGTTAATCCTATAATTGATGTGGGTGTTAGTGAAGATATTATCAGATGTTACTTTATATATTTGTCTCTGTAGTCCTCAGCAGATAGTGGTGTAAAAACATCAGTGTACAAGGCTGTCAGACTGAAGAGGAAAAAGTGAGTGAGGGAGCCCAGTAGGAGCCCTCCTTCACTTTAATTGCCAGAGCAAAGTGAACTCTGACAGAATCCTCAAAGAACACTTTAATCACAAGACGCTGTTTGCTGTTATGGGCCTTCCTCTTGCCAGCAGCAGCAGGAGGGGCCTACACAGACACACAGGCTTTGAGACTGTCACTATTTAAACTAATGTGTTCAGATACGAGAGGCGATCATTTTAAAATCCCTTCATCTGGATGACACTGTTTATGGCTCTGGTTTATTATGGTTTGTGCACAGCCTAATCAGAAATGAGGAGGAAGACTACGATGAAGACCACAACAAAAATCTGTTTTTGACCAGTGACTTGTCCTCTCTTGGATTTTTGTTTTGGGCTCTAACAAATCGAATTTAAAAGTACTGCTACTGCTGTAACTTGTCACTACAGTTACTACTTCTTTTTTTCCTGACAAATACAGAATAATAACTCCCTGTATTTCTTTTCTTTTCTTTTAAAAAAAATAGATTTTAATATTTTACAAAAAAAATTTAAACAGACAAGAAATAAAACATCTCATCTCTCTTTTCTTATACAGAAGGCTGTCAATCTGGTCCCCACACACTCAACTGTGTTGTTTGTGTAATTAGAAACTTTTTAATTTTTTTCCTGATGGAGAATGCATGTCCCTCATCTAAAAATGTACTAAAGAACTACCATATTAAAGTACTGAAGGAGTGTGTACACTGGATCCCAGAAAAATTATCCTGGGCTCTAACGAATTTAATTGAAAATTACTGCTACTGCTACAACTTCACTATTAATACTACTGCTACAACTGTAATATATTTGGATCTCATGGTTATGAGGTAAAACCAACACTACTGACATCTAAATGCCATAAGTATTTTAGTTATTTAGAAATTTGACAAGAAGTATGTGATGAATATATTCAGAAAATAGCTTTATTCACTTTGTATCCATAACCATAATATATAATAAGGGATTCAAATCTGTTTTAGATGTTGTAATGTGTGTTTCCATTGACCATTAATGAAAAAAGGAATGGTTTTCTGTGTGAAAGTGTAGTTTGGCATAAGGCTCCAACTAACGAGTATTCATATTTTGATAATCACATCATCTGTCTTTCATTCTTTATAATACATGATTAGCTGATGCAATCATGAATATGAGACTTTGAGTTTTTCTGAGATTAAGCTAAAGAGATTGCCTGTTGAGAACGTCTTCAAAATTGTTTTTTAATTAAATCACTAATTTAAGTCTCATTTTGACAGGAATAACTCTTTATGCTACTACTTTATAACAATAAAACAATAAATATTTTTGTAGATAGACAGTATCATTGAAATATATACAGAATGAAACAATATTTAGCCACAGAAGTGACTTATTCAACCCTCTACAGCTCAAATCTTATGATATTATAAGAAAAATAACAAAAATCTCCACAAAAATTATTGAACCCCAAAATATAAGTCAATTTGTAATAAATCTGGCCTAAGCACATACACTTGTAAAATCTGTAAATTGTAGGTAGTAGTATAGTAGTATGGTAGTATGGTGGTAGTAGGAGTAGGAGTAGTAGTAGTAGCAGTAGTAGTTGCTGCTGTAGTAGTAGTAGTAGTAGCAGCAGTAGTAGTAGTAGTAGTAGTAGTAGCAGCAGTAGTAGTATAATGTAAGTTGGTGACTTGTACTTACGTTAGAGCCATTGACGCTCCATTGGAAGATGGGCTCTGGTACTCCCTCGGCTTCACAGGTCAGGACTTTGTGGTTTCCATCTGAGGAGCGCTGTTTGGTGAGACCGGTGATCACAGGTTTACCTACAGAAAACAGAAAATACAGAAGCAGTTTGAGGCGGTGAGGCTGTGTCAGTGTGGGCGGGCTACACTGTGCTCTAAACAATGGACACTGTAGCAGTGGGAGATGGGTCCTGTGCTGTTCTCTTATAGAAAACACAAATTCTCCAAAGTTTAAAACCGAACTTTTTGGTTTGATGGCTTGAGGTTGCATTACCTTTGCATGACTCTACCAACTCTAGCAACAACAAGCGTGCAGTTCTGTTTTTTAAGTTGCACAGTGTAACTTTTCTGTTTGGGTATACTGTCCATCATATATTTTCAAGAAGATCCAAGGAGATGTTATACTATGGTATTAAAGTTATCCAGCTTGCTTTCATTCAATTACAGGTCTTTTTATGGTTAAAAATACATGAAAACAGAGATCCTTTCTGTGCTTTGGCTCGCCTCTCCAAAGATTTGATTTGTAATGGCGTAGTTGTGTCACCTGCTAGTTTCAGTGGAGATGCCATACTGTGAAAAATTCCAGGGACAAACTGTTACTGATACTGGTATGCAATATTTATGCCAATCCAGGAAATTTGGCTGAACAGAGTGTCAGCCCCAAGATATCGGTTCATCAGATATCCTGTTTGGGCCTTTTCTTTGATGTAATAAAACTGTTTACCGGACGGAACTGGCTTAGAACTTCTTATACTGTTTGAACTTCAATTCATACAAAGCTGTTCAGCTTCTTGCAGGAAAAATAACAGCTACAGAACACAACTGAATCCATTTTGTAATAAGTTAACTGAGTTTTAGGAGGGAAAAGGCCATTCTAAGTCCCTACACTGGTATAATTTAATACCAAGTATTGGCAGATACTTAGAAGATTGGACTGATTCACTACAATTACATGTGAAAGACCTAAACTGAAGATATATATTTGTGACCCCTTGTGACTATAATATTTTTTATGAGAGACTTGTTTAACTGAAACCAGGAATGAGTGGGACCAAAAAACATCCCTTCACTTTTCCCCCACAAATCAGCCTACAGTGGAAATTGAGGACTGAGGGGTGAGGGGGGTTGACGCTCAATTTGGGACGGTTTATTATTATCCAGTGCAGCAGACAGCCATTCTGGAAATAGCCAGTCCACCCCTGATTCCAACTATGTCACTTCTTTATCATCAGATTGTGTTCAAACGAGGATCAGAGTGAATTAAAAATAGAGCTTCATACAGAGCAGTGCTTCTAGCTAGCTCCACCCCTTAGGCAATGGTAATGATAGCAGTATCACAAAGTATCACAATTGAAACAAACTGCAGTAAAATGAAAACGCCCTTTTACCCTCAACCACCAGCTCAAAGCTCTGATGTCTGGTGACGGCTTCAGTGGTCACTTCACATTTGTAGACTCCAGCATCCAAGTACGTCAGCTTGGTGAAGACGGGCTCCTTCACAGTTTTCCCATCCTGAAAAGAGAAGTGGAGGCCACATTACTAGTCTGTATTTTCCACCACATAATGGGCCTGACACCGCCATTTAATCGTAAACGCAACTGTTGTCACGGTAATTATAGCTTCCTCCCTTTTAAACGCCATCATTTGCACTTGTCCAGCTGCTCCCACACAGCGTTTCACGGGCACGATTCTAACTCACTGTCTCTTCGGGTCACGAGACTGTTCCAAGCTATAACAATACAAAGCTCATATCTCATCTTTACTTTTTCCTCATTTTCTCTGAGCGTTATCTTGAGCGAAACCTATTTTTGCAGTCTTAATGACCAAACCCGGCCTTCACCTTATCTGGAATATTATCTTAACATTCATAGGCTGCTAAAGTTGTACAATAAATCAGCCATGACTTCTTCTGGTTCATTTTAGCTTCATATTTTAGCTGTGTTGAAAATTCATTGGATTCTCTGTGAAAATGTTTCCACCTGAGTCATTCACTGTTATGATAGTTCTGTAGATTAGGGAGGATTCACTGTCAAATATACAAAGTAGAGCAAATGTCCAACGAAGTCATAGCTCAAAGCGCAAACTGTTTTACAAAATGGTGAAATAAGGAGGCTTTTTTCTATATTTCAACACATCTCAATACTCTTTATTTCAATAAGATTAGCATTGTATTACACTGTGTCTTCTTTGTATTGGTTTAGGATATTGCACATTTAGTTCAGGAGTCTGCTTTAAAGGGTTCATATTATATTGTTTTCTAATCTAGGCTATAATGTTGTTTCCTCATCAAAAACATACCTGGAGTTGTGTTTTGTTTCATTCACACACGTTTTAAGGGTTCTTATATTTATCTACTGTATATTTAGGAGTTCACTCAAACAAAAGCTACTATGTTCTATGTTGTGATGTCATGTGGTAATACAGGATGTGCTCCACAGTGTAATTTCAGCAATGGAACTGAACTTAAGATAAAAGGTAGCTGTTAACTTAAAAACTACTGCTTCAAGGTGGAACAGATCATTTTGAGCTTTGGAGATGTAGACAGCCTAATAATAAAGGTTTACTCAAATGTGTGTGAATGAAACAAAATGCAACTGTGGGTATGTAGCATTATAACATGGTTCACAAGAGTAAAATTTGCATAATATAGGACCTTTACACTTGTACATTGAGGTAAAAGCTTCTTTGTTATATCAATAACGACAAAACAAACCTAACAAAGAACATTTACGTCTGCTATATAATTATGATCTATTATATGATATGAACATTTTAAATAGCTATATTTATCTAAAATAACCGACGTGTATCACCAATTAAGAAAAAAAAGAAGAATGAAGTAAGTTCAAAGCAGTAGGCGTGTAGGGCGGTTGGTAAAAACTGACTTTTTTTTGACAAATGTGAGTAGTTTGAGTGATTCAAAAATGAATCACTCAACAACTACAACTTAGAAAATTAGAGGAAATTATAGCATGACTAAAAGCTCTCACAAGTTAATTTTGCAAAATAAGTCTCCTTTAAATTATGCTGCATAATACTCAAGATGCATGCTAAAAATTTGGATTTCAAAATATGTTTTTGGTTGATTTTGATTATTTTGCCCAAATTATGCAATTTAGAGGACCTATATTAAACAAAATTGACTCTTGTAAGCTGCTAGCAATGTTAAAATGTTGCTGCCTCATCAAAAACATACCTGGATTTGTGTTTCGTTTCAGTCATGTTTGAGTAATCCTGCATTATTACTCACGTTCTGTACTTCCTGTATTACCACATGACATTGCAAGGTTGAATGTTGAGTGTTTTGAGTCTGAGAGAAGAATATATATACAGGGATTGTGTGTCACGCATGTGTGAGTGAAATACTCCAGGTATGTTTATGATGAGGAAACAACATTATCACATAGATCAGAAAATAGCGTAATACAGGCCCTTTAAATTGAGCACAAACTCACCCACCGTCTTCTTTTTTATCCACAAACCTATAAAAGTGCTGTGTAGTCATGTTTTGTGGTCAGCTAAAACAAAATATCTCTGGTCTGTCTCTACGAACCATTTTCTTACTTGCTAACACATAACCAAATCCATCAAATAATTTCAAAGCTTTACTCAGTTATTAGAGCATCAAGTTTCCTTTTTCGTTTTATTTTTCGGTGTATCCATTTGGGAGAGGTTTTTTGGTGGCCTTGCTTGGAGCTTTTATAGTTGAGGATGGACTCTCTATCAGACATATAGTGCAGACTAAGTGCAGGGGCTAAGGAATGACCCTATCATCTACTAGGGGAAAATTGCTACTATTCACAGTCTATAAGAGCGGTGACAGACTTTCTTCAGTCTCCTTTGATTACCGACCGCAGGGAGAAAGTAAACAGGCAGTTAGACAAATCACTCTGTTCTTACAAACTTTTTCATTTCCTCTTTGCTTCTATCTTGCCGCGCAGTTTCCCTCTTTGATCAACGGCCGACCTCAGTGCCACTTACCTTTCTCCATGACACGGTAGCTTCGCCCGAGGAGCTCTTTTCCATCTTCACAGACAAGGTGTCCCCTACTGTCTTCACCACCCTCCCGGTTGGACTCAGAGACAGGTCCAGGTCTGCACAAACAAGTTACAAAAAGCGAGGTTAGCTGAGTCACATCGGAGAGGTGAATATGCGTACATTAACAGCGCTCATTTCACTCCTTTTCTTATTTCTGTTAAAGCTGCGATGTCATAACCACTTCACAGGGGCTTTTTATGTAAAATAATTACAGTAAATTCTTTTGAGGTTATACTTTCATGTCTCGTGGCAAAAAGTAGGTAGAATAGTCAAAGATTGAGTAAAGTTAAGTAGAAGTGGAAGTAAGAGCAAAAAGTACCACCGCTTAAGTAAAAGTTATTGTAACTGTCAGGACATAACATCTGATTTAAAATGTGTTAGTTTATTAAAGGTGCATTGTGTAACTTTTCTGGTGGAGGGTCTGTCAAGTGCTGTTGTTGCTTTGTCTGGAATGTTTCACAGTATGGTATTAAACCTTTCTATCTTCATGGAGACCAAACTAGACTAGGTTACCGGTCAGATCTGTGGAGAGCCAACCCCTCACAGTCTGAACACCTGTTTTTCTAGGTATTTTTGAGCTATAAAACCACCTGTAACTGAATAAATGTAAGGTAAAGCTGTTTAATGTCATACTGTGGAACATTCCAGGCAGAGCATTAACATATCCAAAGAAACAAACAGGTGACGAACGCTCCAACCAGAAAAGTTATACAAATGCACCTTTAATAAACTAACAAATTATAAATCAGTTGTTATGTCCTGACAGTTACAATAACTTTTACTTGAGCACTCATACTTCCACTGCTCTTACTTCCACTTCTACCTAACTTTACTCAATCTTTGACTACTGTACTGACTTGCCACGAGACAGAAACAGGTGACGGATGCTCCACCAGAGACGTTACACAATGCACCAATAAGTTGATGTAATTGGAAAGACAAAACCTTAAGTAAAAACAAATGTTGTATTTTCATAAATACCATGAAAATTTGAAGAATTAAATCATACCTGAATGAATACAAATGCTCAAATCATTTTTGTCTGTTAGTCTGTCCCAAGGCAGCTGTGGCTACAATAGTATCTTACAATCAGCAAGTATGGACTGAATGAACAATACAATGTAAAGAGTGTTTTGAAAGGTGGTGTTTAAATCCAATATATTATAGTTATCAACAAAAAGTGTTGTCAGTTAGGCCTACAGACTTATTCTCAGTAATCAAAACTTTTACCTAAGTAAGAGTATAACGTAGGTTGACCGTGAGCGGCTTGGGGTTCAGTGAGCAAGGTAAAAAACAAATCCAGACACAGACAGGTAGTTGTGGTCCACGGTTTACTTTTGTTTCTTCAATGATTATAAAGTGCAAGTGCAAAAAGTGCAGGGTGCAAAATGGAGGCAGGCAGCAGTTTCCTCTCCAGCAGCAGAACACAGACTGATCTTGAAGGCGCCTTTTATGCCGGTCCTACTGATTGGATAAAACCACTATGCTAAAACAGGGATGGTTAAAATTATCATTAGCGTAAAATCAAAACCTAAACCTCCATAAAACAACCCAAAACCCAGATAACTAACTAAAACCACCAACTATATACATAAAACCCTAAAACCATTACACCAATTAAATGTTAAAACCCATAAACCAATAAAACACCTAACCTAAAACCCCTGTACAAAATGTTACACGTGGTCCAGCCCGGAACCATAAAAGAGGGAGCTCGTTTCCGGGGGACTCTTTTCACACCTGGACAGAAGATAAAAAGGGGAGGTAAGTAAAAGCAGATCCACCATTCATTAAAACACAATAAAATACACTAAACACATCAACACTTAAAACATTCTAAAACAGATATTGCACCATATTTATTGCACAAAGTCAATTTAAAATGTAATTTGTTATTGTCTCCCTTTTCCTCCAGGGACAAGCAACTTTCAATTAAAGTGCTGTGCCTCAGGAATAAAAAAATGTTAAAGGAAAGCCAATAAATATTTTTTAAAACCAATTGTGTGCAATTTATTTTGTGATGTGCAAATATGTTAAAAGTGCTAAGAAAGTGCAGTGTTTTAAAGTGCTCTAGTGAAGGGTGAAGGTGCTAAGTGTGGTTTGGGGTAACAAACCAGCCTGTTTGTTACAAAGAGTAATGTACTTCGAACTAAATATTACTCAGGGTCCTCTCACGTGCTTGCTTCTATGGATGTGTCATTGCTCTACTTGGAATGTTCCACAGTATGACATTAAACAGCTCAACTTTACATTTATTCAATTACAGGTGGTTTTACAGCTCAAAAATACCTAGAAAAACTGGCATTCTGTCTGTGAGCAGTCCCACCTCTCCACAGATCTGACCTGTAACTTGGTCTGGTTTGGTCTTCACAAAGACAGAAAGGTTTAATGCCATACTGTGAAACATTCCACACAAAGCAATAACATCTCCATGGACAAAAGCATTTGACAGTCCCTCCACCAAAAAATTTACACAATGTGCCTTTTAAATAAAATTACTCAAGTATAAGTGAGTACTATCCACCTCTCTTTATGGCTCTGCAGATCAGTCTTGTATCTCTACATTCTGTTCATGTACACACTGACTCTGCCTCCCACATGAACAGAACCAGACTAGTGTGAAATTAGCATAGCCCTCACGCTGAGTCTGCCAATGGAAGCCAGTATTGTGTCTTTGTTAACATTAAATACAGGGGCTATGGCTGACCAAATTAACTTATATGTTAATTCATTAGCCTCATAGCATTATTATCAAAGTCATCTTTCAAGGTTTCCCGGAAAACACAAAACTAAGCAGCTAATGTAACAAGATTAAACTGTAAAACTGAGACAAAAAACTCAATTTGGGAAAAAAATGACGATGAATTTGCAGAATTTTAAAATCTTTTCTTCATGGAGATGTTATTGCTTTGTCTGGAATGTTTCACAGTATAGCATTAAAGCTTTCTATCTTCATGTAGACCAATTTAGACTACGTTACAGGTCAGATCTGTGGAGAGGCAACCCCCGCTCACAGTCAGAATCCCTGTTTTTTAAGGTATTTTTGAGCTTTAAAACCACCTGTAACTGAATAAATGTATAGTAGTGTGTGTTTAAAGTCATACTGTGGAACATTCCAGGCACAGTAATGACCTATCCATAGAAACGAGCAGGCGACGGATCCTCAACTGAAAAATTATACAGTGCACCTTTAAAGATTTTCGCAAATATCCACAAAACTGTTAACAAAATGTAAATCTGCTTGGTAGCTGTGCCAAAAAGTGCATCACCTAATAACAGAGCTGTTTTCGAACAGAGGGCGGAGGCTGAGTGTTCTGTGCTTTCCTAAATTAAACTTCATTAATAATATTGTATACTAAATGAGTAGGCCCATTTCGAGATGACAAATACACTTGGATGCCACACTGTGAAACAATCAGACTAAATGAAACACTGTCAATAGCAATGGGCCTGTTTAAATGTGCGTAAAAGTTGTGAACATTTCGGTGACCAGATAGAAACATATATTTTTAACTTTTATGATAGAGGGTTTTGACATCTGCTTGTCGTCATGGAGATATTATTGCTTTGCCGAGTATGTTTGGATTGTATCTTGTATTTAATTGATTACAATTGTTTATCCGCAAAACGACCTTGAAAATAAAGCATTCTCACTGTGAAGAGTGTACAGTGAGTGACGTCAACCGCTTGTCTCTATGAAATCAGATAAGTTTAATTGCCATATTGTGGAACATTGTAAGCAAAATAATAACATCTCCATGGAGACATGCAGGTGACAGACTCTTAACCAGAAAAGTTATGCAATGCAGGTTTAAGACAGAACTTAATTGAGCTCACCGTGGATGAAATATGCTATATTATGCTATTTTCTGATCTGCAGATAAGTGTTTTTTTCATTCACACATGTTTAACACACAAACCCCGCATATTTAGGTTGAGGTTTTCTCTCAAACTGAAAACACTCGCTCCAAAGTTCCACCTTGTGATGTCGTGTCATACTACATGAAGCGCTCCACTGTGTTTTGAAACTACATACAACTTCACTAGAATCATTTGGAAAACCTCAGCCCTGGAATTGCTGATCTCTACTGAAGAAAAAGTAAATGGTAGCTGTTAACTTGAACACTACAACTTCATGACATCACAAGGTTTGAAGATGCAGACATACTAATAATAAAGGGTTACTCAAACATGTGTGAATAAAACAAAACACAACTCCAGGTATGTTTTGAGGAAGTAACATTATCCTAACATGGCGTAAAGCTCACTTGCGTACTATAGGACTTTTAATAAGGCAGCTCTTAATTCACAGTAAGGTGCAGATGTAAGGATAACAACACTGATAAAAATAATAACACCATAAAAATACTAAAACCAGCTCGAACCTGACTAAGACTCTCCTGCAGTCAGAGCCAGTCTATTATACAGCAGCTGTGGGTTAAGTGGGAACATTAGAGCGTCTTCATGTGGCCCGGAGGAGCACAGGCCCAGAGCCACGAGCTACAATGTGTGTTAATTACTTTTAGATAATTGAATTAAATGGATTAAGGCACCAAACAGGCCAGAGCGATAAAGAGTGGACGACTGCGCAGAATTATACTTTACATTTCTGTTGCTTTAAATAATTTTTTATGCGGTGCATTTAACAAAATAGATTTGGGCTGAATCCAATTAGTAATGATTCAATACAAGTGCTGATCTACAGTCCCCGAGCACAGAGGGGCACGAGGTTTATGAGGGTCCACAACTGATTTTTGCCAAAGTCAATTTAGTGGATTAGACTGGTCCTGGCTGAACTGATACAGGGCGAAGGCTGCTAATATTTAATCCTCTGAAAAGATTAAATCTACAATGAATCCAGTGAGTAGACTGAGACATGAGGTGCATTTGCATGGCCAGAAAATCAGATAACTAGAATCATCACATAACCTAGTAATGAGTTCTAATTTTTGAGTTTACATGCATGAAAGAAGTCTGATAATAAAAACACCTGGTGACATGTGTCAGTGAATCAATGATTTTAGAGTAACTGTTGTATTTGACACAGACAAAGTAC